CACTGGGACACCTCCTCTGGTTCCATGTGACCTCAAAAAGACAACCGGAGCGGCAACAGATACTGTCTTAATTACCTCGCTAGTGTTTACATGTACATACACGCGTGTGTGTGTGTGTGTGTGTGTGTGGATGTTGGCTATTTTCAGTACCTGTGTGAAAAAGACAGTGGGGGGTGCTGTGTGTATACACCTGAATATACAGTATTAATAAATAACTTCACAGTTGGAGTCCGTTTCTTTCTGTGAAGCAACATCAAACACCTCCTTCCAGCTTTTGATCACGTAGCACACCGATACATATTATTACAACATGTAAAGCAATGATCCGCTGTAGTTTAATCTCACTTCCGCAACCCCGTCATCTGCATGCAAGAAAGAAAATGATTCTATTCACTCCTGCTGCATTGTTCTACACAACTACTTTAAGGGAAATAAATCAACACTTTTTTATTTATTTATTTTTTAATACATCTGTGGTTCTCATCGGGGCAAATTATAATTAGCATGGATATAAAAAAAAAAAAAGTGGGCATAACGGAAATATAATGACACGGAGGAGCATAACGTAGCTGGGATTGACTCCATTCGTCATCCCTCTCCAGTGAATACCCATCAAAGCCTATGTGCTCATAGCTTAATTACAAAACACATCATAACAGCCGAGATATTTTCATGCATTGCAGCGATCACAGAAGAGGCGGCGGTTGTTTTTATTACATGCCAACTTGAGGAGTCAGCCACGGTTTCCTTTTTTAGAGTTGCATTTTTGGCAGGGTTTTTGTAACGTCACAGCACGTCTGCGATACGCCGCGTTCTTCCTCGATTATATAGATTCTTTCCATCTCAGGGTCGCCGTGATGCACGCAGAGCAGAGAGAGGAGAGTTGTGGCGCGGTGAACCGACCTTTCCTCTCGATGCGAATTACGAGCGCGATCTGGCTGAATCCACACAAGAGACTACACTTCCACTTCAAAAGAGCGGCGTACAGCAGCCTGAATCCTACCCGCCCGCAGAAGAATAAATAAGCCATTCAGACCCTCGGAGGACCCGCAATAAACGCTGACACCAAAGGTGCTCGGATGACTCCGACGCTGAGTAGTGACGAATCGACATTGGTTTATTATCATTTTAAATTGAGTCCTGGTTCTAGCTTTTAAAATGTGTTCATTTGCTGCTTTTCTGTGTACACTAAACATGTAAGAGGATGTGAGGATGTCACCTTGGACTCTGAGAAATGAATGCTATTTTTCCACATTTTTTAATAGTATAATTAAAATAATCAGTTGTAGCACCAATTTTTATCGCCACAAATCACAAATTCTGGAACCTAACACAGGATGGGAAAAAAAGTAGAAAGGAACACAGACAGTAAGACAAACAGAAAGAACGATCAACATGCTACCGTCTATAGACACTTCCAACAACAGATTGAACGCCGAAGGGGAATTCCTGGAAGATCAAGCACGCGAGGAGCAGAGGTCAAGGTTCGGGGTGCAAAGTTCAGCGCAGGCTGGTATCAATAAAGACCTCCTGCGAGCGGAGCAGCTCATTGCACAAATAATTAACGAGCAATCTGAGTCATCTCGCTGTACTGTGGCCTCTCAGAAGTTTCTGATTCGTGCTATGTTTAGAACGTAAACAAGAGGGGAACAGTATGACGAGCCAAAATGTTTTATCTGAAGCCAACGACTCATGCCTTGTAATGATCAGCAGAAAAAAAAAAAGAAAAAAAAACTGGTCTACAGTTTAGTGTAATTATAAAAAAATACACACTCGCTGTGTTCGTAATTGGAGCGTAACGCTCGTACAGTTGGGTTTGGATGTTGGCAGGGGTGAGGGGTGGGAAAGTGGTGGAAGTTGTTCTTTGATTTGCTTCAGTAAAAGGCCTCGTGGGCGAGATTGAGCGAGAGAGAGAAAAATGAGAAAGGGGAGGGTGGGAGAGAGAGCTGTCACTTTAAGCCATTAAGTCTCGCTATAAAACTCCTCCAATAAAAATGACAGCTGCAGCCCCTTTTCTCAAAAGGGGCGCAAAAGCGTCACATCAGGAACACAAAACTGGACGGCAGTAAAAAGACAAATTTGGCCAAATGCTTTTGGCAGTGTAATTCCACCAGCCCACTCCCACCGCACACACACACCCTCTCCTCTCTCCCTGTGTTACCTTTGTTCCTGAGTTACTGCCAGAAAAGGAATGTCGGTCTCTCCCACACACACCATCATGATTCTCACTTTCTCATCAAAGACCATGAACTTCATTGCTTTCTGTGTGTGTGTGTGTGTGTGTGTGTGCTGGTGGTACCTTATGCTCCCCTAAACAGAAAGCACCAAAGAGTTTAGTTCCACCGGATTCAGGAAAGACAACACACGCCTCTGAAGCAGGTGATAAATACAAGCTTTTGGAGTGAGCGTGATGTGGCCAATCATCTGTCAAAAGGGGAAATGTAGCTTTGAGCTCTGGAAATCTTAATAGTTTTATTAAAAATTCAATATGTAAATGTTTGATTAAAAACAGCTGATTTAATGTGTTAAAAGAATTAATAGGTTTCATTTGTTGGGGTTTGTTATAACAAAAGCCTGTCTTCAATCTTTTCTCTAAATATGAACGTTGGCTGTACATCTCACACGGTCGTCTAATAGTCTTCAAGTTCATTGGATCTAAATCGCCTCGATTGGTCTCTTGAGGGCTTTACAATCTGAACAAGACACTTTGCAACATCCTCAGACCCGCTGATTCAGACGAGGAGAAAACTAAGAATAAAGCCCGGAATGTGCAAACATTGAGCCGCTGAAACCTGCTTCAGGAGAACTACCTGGAGGCCCACATATTAGCCTTTAAAATAATCAATCAAATTATTAAAAGACTACAGATCTGGCTGGCCTTAAAGTTGAAGAGCTTTCGCTCAATCGCTCTCCGATTATTTCCCCGACAGACCGTCATGACCAGCCTCACATTGCTCTGACTAAAAGGACACAGTCTCCTCTCAATGTCGTCCCTTCAATGTTCACAGCTCTGTCAGATATTGGAGCACCAAGCACAAGGTGCCAAAGAGGGAGAGGGGGGGGGCTGTGGTCATCACAGCCGACAACCGATCCATAACTGTAGAGTTGTACCCACGTCAGGTCGTCTAATGCGGCACGACAGATAATTACACCGGGTGAGCGGCTAATCGATACGTTCCAAGGACTTTCGCAGATAGCGGCTGGCGTCCTTGAAGTGGCCAATTACAAATCGGCACTCAAGTGGACCTTTTGATGGGAGCAGGTTTTAAATATAAACGCCGAGGCCCACAGATTAGGACCACGGAAGAGATGCTGATGCAGCACACGCGGAGGAGGAAGAGGAGCATTCCTAATCATCTGAACAGTTAAAGCGTCGAGCCTTCCAGATCAGGAAGTGTCTGGCATGAGCTACTCTGGCGTACATTCAGGCACTCTGAAAGGTGAAGCACTTTCAGCGTGGACACGCAATACGGTGCACCTGTAATAACAGCGCCCGTCGTCGGTGTGTGTGCAAACGCTGGCGGGTTGAGAGTGTTTCTGGGAAGCCACATAAAAAGGGCCGCTGCGGGCGACAGTGTCCGCGCGTAAGGGCCCCCTCCTCTGCCTCCCTCCCCCCTTGAATCTCCTTCGGTGCATCCAGGCGAAGACGAGGATATACCGTGTCGAGGTTGTAACGCGACACCCTCATGAAAAGAGCGGCAGACACAATAACAGGTCTGGCCCACAGCTCAGTGCTGTGTGTGTGTGTGTGTGTAGGGGGGGGCAAGGGTCTGCTCTGTTCACTTTGACAAACTCACAGTAGCAGCTCAGCATTAATTATTTACAGTGCGGTGTGTGTGTGTGTGTGTGTGTGTGTGTCTGACAGTGTGTGCTTGAAAAGGTATTTTTCGAAAAAATAAGGATGACTTGGACCTATGGTTTTCAATTCACTTATGCATTCACACTTTATTCTGGAAACTCAAACGTCACTAATTGAAATGATGACAGCTGTGTAAAAGGCCCTCGTTATGCCTTGAAGTACTTTCTGGTGAAAAAAAAAAATGTATGTGACAGTTGCACTCCCTCAACAAATGGTGCCAAATTCAGTACCTCTAACCAAGCGCCCTGCATAGTTTATGATCATTTTGCAGATTAAATTTGCATTTTTCATCCACAGACTGTTGAGGTCCCGGTGCAGTTATCCCACTCCTGCATGTGTCACCTGTTTGTACCTGAGCTAATATTTAGCTTGAAGAGACAAACTCAGGCTGTCCCCAACAAGCCGAGCAACTTTGTTTGAGCACAAGGGCCAAGTTTAAAAATCCCAATTCTTATGCTAGTTGGGTTCATTTTCAAAACCACATGCCAGTCTGCACCTTCAAAGTCAAACGGAAGCACGTTGACCCGAGTCACGTGAAAGACAACGGAAGGCTTGAAAATAACCGCACAGAACGTAAACGCAACATTTAAGCCATCTAAAAGCAGACAACGCGTGCTAAACGGGTAACAAGAAAAAGAAACTGCTCGTGCAAGTTCAAACCCCTGTTCATGCAGTCGTGTTAGAATGCAGTCCTTCTCTTTTACGCGCACAGCACACGCTAAAGTACGTTGACTCATCTCGGTTTGCAAATCTCCCGACATTCATTAGAATAAAAGTTAGGAGCAAAGTTTAAAAAAAACAGCCTGCATTTAATTGCAGCGCGCGCGAGGTATGCGCGCAGCTTCCTCCCAAGCGAGATGTCACTCCGTATCAAAGCTAAATGTCACCGGCTCGCACGGCAACGTTTAGATATGCAACACGGAGAGGGCATGTCTGCTTTTACTTGAAGTTACGAGCGAAAAGAAGACAACGTCCGCTTAAAGCTCGGCAAGAGCTCCGAACATGTTGATGCGTCTGGCACGCGCTGTCAAGAAAAGGGGGCACAGCGCGAGGACACGTTTCACACTAATCCGCCGATAAAAAAAAGAGTCTCATCATAACCCACACATTTAAGGCTCAGTCATTGAACAAACAAACTTACCCAATGACAGGAACGGTTTGGTTTCCATGACTGTCTGGTAGATTAGCTCATGCCCGCTGAGACGACCGCGTTTCGGAGAGTTTTCTTTTTTTTTCGCAGGCGGACTGCCCGGGCAGACCAGACCACCAGACCAGGGCGCTGCTGCTGCTGCGGTCCTCTTTCAAGTTAAGACTCGGCACGAAGCAGTAAAAGTGACAGGTCGATGCGTGATAAATCTCGGAAAGATAACCGAAATGTTTCTGCCCTCTTGTTTGCTCACTCAGCTGCTGCGCTCTCCTCTCCCTCTCCTCCTAGCGCTCGCTGTGGCAACAACTCCAACTACTGGATGTGCGCTGCAAACAAAAAAAAAAAAGGGACCCGTGCAGGGGGTACTCCCACCGACGTAGAGGCGAGCTGCAGCGACACCGCAGATATGCGAGGCCAGGGGAGTCTTATCGTGAACTTTGAAATTAGCAACACATGAAGGAAGTAAACACGCAGCGCATTTTTTTTTTTTTTTGCATTTACAGTCTGCAGATTGCTTTCCAGGACGGCGGAGGTTTTCCAAAAGCACGCGGAGCCGTTTTTTCAGCTAAACAGCAGCTCCTTTTCCGCTGCTTATCTGCTGTTATTCTAACCTGGTCACATGTTGAATCAGGGCCGTTGGCTCCAGTAGATAGATGTTAGAACTGCATGTGCCTATAGGCTCCTCACCGCTGATGCAATTAGCCTCTCTCTCTCTCTCTCTCTCTCTCTCTCTCTCTCTCTCTCTCTCTCTCGAAGGTACACTCGCCTACACAGTTTAATCTATTGATTTTTTTGTTGTTGTAAATAAAGACCTCAAAATCCAGTGCTGACATTCAAAGTTGTGCAATGCATATTTGACTGGTAAAATAATGTTTTTGTACATTGAGATTAAGATGTACTGTTTTCATCACAAAGCATGCCTGTTTTTTTGTGTCTAAGTAAAAAACATTGCCCTTGAAACAGCCAAGATTGAAAAAAACAGTTGTTACCAAATTACAAATTTAAACTAGCTATTATAACACATTCTTAACAATACGGTATTGTGATTCTTTTGCACAAAAACACAAAAAAATCCAGACCAATAAAGTTGTGCAAGCTAAAAATCTTTTCACAGTTACAATATTCATATTTGTCTCAAAAGTCCCCCACTCTACATCTGCTAATGCTTACTTGATTCATACAGTTTGATCTGCCAACATGGCACAACACCAAAAAAAAGAAGAGAAAAGCCCCTGTATCTGTTCTGGACATGACAGTTTAGGCCCTAATTCAAGCCACATCTGTCTTGTGTGCGCCTCCTCCCCTTCGACACTCCGGCCCTCTACACAGAGGCAGGCGCGTGTTCCAGGAGAGTGAAAAATGTCCCTCCTTTGGCCCGGATCGAAGGACAGCACCACAGATGCAGGCTTTACATACACACATACACACACTGTAAAATCCCTTATGCAGTGCACTATATATGGGAGCGTGATGTAGGGTATGCATACTCCTCCTGCAGCCATCCTCCAGGCCGCCGCGATGAGCCCGCTCCTGTTAAGCATTCGAAGGTGTTCACCACGTTTGCACCGAGGGTGAGATGCATAATTAATGCAATGCACGGCATATCAAAGATCAAAGGCAGTTGCGTGAAAAAAAGGAAAAAGATTAAAGCTAAGTCTGATTGGGCACTGTTCAATGTGTAGGTGTGCAGATGTGTGAGGAGTGATAATTCCACTCAAGGCCTTGCTTTTGTGTGAACGCGTCCTTCATCTATCTTTCCGAGTAAACAATTGTCAGTCGTCAGAGGGTGTCACGTTGGCGTGGCGATGTTAAGCGACATAATCGGCGGGGTGAATGCTCATTAGCGAGCGAGGGAGGGAGGGAAGGAGGGAAGAGGTGCGATTGGACATCCCATTAGTCGTCGGTTCCCGAGGCTGTTTTGCTCCCTGGGGCCTCCGCTCTGTAATAGAAGACAGACACAACGCGGCCTTTTCAAACACCTCCACAGGGCCGCGTTCCCTCATCTGCCCAAGCTACAACGAGCTATTTAATCCTCGACTTTTGGGCCGTGATTAATAGCCTTCTGACCCCTCCACCTCAACCCGCATAAATCCTCTGGAGGCCGTCGTTGGCGCTCCTCAACGACTCACACCTCTGCAAGAGGAGGCGTCGAGACTAAACCTACCTCTTTAATCGTGATAGCTCTTGGCTCGGTTCTTTCTTTCTTCCTCTTTTGCGCTGTTTCCCTCCACTTTAGGCAACGTATTTTGGGCCTCAGGGGGTGGGAGACCACCATTAGGATACACTCCGCTATGGTTGCTTTGACAGCCAACCTCCTCCTCCTCTTTCGCCCGCTCTTAAAGTGGGTGATAAATGAGACAAGAGGCCTTTTGGTGGCCTTTGTACTTGGACCATTCACGACAAGCTCATCCGTAAAAGTGAATATGGCTCTTTCAGCGGCAATGACAATGCCGTCCAATCCTGAGGAATGTTCGGATAAATATACACTGCATTTCATTCCAGTCAATTATTCATCCAATGCAATGTCAGAAGATAGTGATAGTCTTAGGTGATGTCTTCAAACAGCTTGTTATGTCCAACCATTGGTCCAAAACCCAATGGAATTCAATAAACAAACTGCAAGGAGTCTCAGTCTGTGTGTACGCATGTGTGCCTGTCCTTTGCTTATCTCGAGGACCGTTCATTCGATCTACTCCACACTTGGAGGGTGTATTGCTTGGGACCAAAGAGCGTACAGTCGAAAGCAGTTGACTGCTGCCGGATAAACTCACAGCTGAACTCTTCTTCACTTCCCTGGAGTCGACGAGCGGTTCTTCAGAAGCACTTCCGGCGGGGCAAAGCTCCGAACGGGCAATGTGATTGATTCGATTGATTATAAAAACTGTTTTGGATAAGTCGACATACAGTTGTAGCACTACTGGAATCCAATTTCTTTTTTAAATCTCAAATTAAGATAATCCTCTGTAAACCAAATAGAGGAAACTACTCAAGGCAAGTAGTCAGATGAATAGTTGATTTGGTTCTTATTAGGAGGAAATACTTGACATTTGTTTTGTTTGTTTTTCTGAGAAAAAGAAGAAGAAAAAAGTGTTCTACAAGGAACACAAAAGCATGTGAGATCATTGGGGCGTTTGCTGAGGTGTTCAGCATTGTCCGCCCCCCGAGGGAGAGTCTTGATCGTCACGGCCCCGGGTTCACATTCCTTAACCCCTGGGTCAGGGCTTTGTCTGGGGATAGCACTGAGGCAACTTCCCCTGCGGAAATCAACAAGAGCTGACACACTGAACGCTGGAGACGCACACGGAGGCAGGAAGAGGGACCACCACACACAGACACGGCCATAAAAGTGGCTATTTTTCTTCTAAAAATAGAGAAAACTGTTACATTTTTGCTGATTGTTTTGGTTGTGTTTTTTCCATCCGCTCTAGACTAGGTTTCCATTCATTTCTGTACAGTGTTACCATCCAATAACTAGGTAATCGTAGAAAAAAATGCATTCAATTTAAAAATAATTCAAAAGTGAAATGGGCTAAAACATGCAGAACCATCGGTATGGTCCACTAAAACACAACTCCGTGACAGCAGCCATGTTTTAGACTCTATCGATCTTTCATTTTCATTTAAAAAATGAAAACCTATTACACAAAGATCTCAGACACAATACCCGGTTTCAAATGAAGCGCCCCTGAAGCACATTTCACATCATTGCTCTGCTCTGTTTTCACAGACAGAGTTCATTTCAGCGGCGGTGATAAGAGCTTTGTGGATATCTGCCCATCAAACCCAACTGATGGATGACACGAATCCAGGCCCGGGGCCAGGAAATGGTAGCTTAAAAAAAAAAAACGCAGGATATTTTCCCTAAATGATCAGAGCCCATTCCACTCAGGGCTGTTATCAATATTGAACATTACATCAGCTGTATCTGCCGGGTTTTTGAACGCCGCCATGGTGCAGGCGTGACTCCCTCAGCGGGAACATCCGACACTCAGGCATGCATCATTCTTTAATATCATATTAAAGTGAAATTGGCTACATTCAAACAGACGCAGCGATAAATCTCTCCGGCACTTGGCAGAGGCTGGTCTCGTGTCGCGGGGATGAGGGGAATCAGCGTCTCCTGCAGAGCATCATCTCCTCGCCCACGACCGAGTCCGGCATTATTGCGCGATGATGGAGCTGCTGCGCCGCTGCAGTTGACAGATTGAGAGGCTGAATTATGGCTGTGCAAAGGGTTGAAGGTGTAGTCAAACATTTACCTTGATTTTTTTTTTGGTCTGGTGGTTGAAAGAGGATAGGCGATGGAAGTTCACGTTGGAAGGTGAGGGATTTTATTTTCAGGTTATGATGAGTTTGGATTATTTGACACCTGAAGTCTGCAGAAAAAAAAAATCTGAATTTCCGTTGAGAGCATGTAATAGAAACGCTGCCCTCTGTTACCGTCTGAGCAGCACAAGTCAAAGATGCATGAAGTGTCACCTTCAGAATGACCTTTTTATCTTTTTGTTTCTGTAGCCAACCTGTCTCCAGCGATACTGCCGTGTGCAGAAACTCAGAATACAGGTTTTATTGTCATATTCCTGCAATACCATTACAGTTAAGGTAGGCAGGTCTGCAGCACATTACATAAGATCTGTCTTATCCCAAGCAGCCAGGTCTGCTTTGACAGTTGAACAACCAATTCTATTGTTTCTCTCCATTGTGTGCAGAACGTTTTGCATGTCTATACCTCCATACATCGCCAACGTGTGCTTGAAACCACCACTCAAAGTGATTAACCGTCACGGACTAGTTTCAACTGAGTCACTGATGTACATTGAACAGAGAGCTGTTCATGCTTTTTGTCAAACAGTTTTGCCTCGCAAAGCTCAGCTGCTTTGCGTTGCATTGCTGCTGATCCTGCTTCCTAATCCCGCGTTGCCTTGCAGCGTTGGGACTTGCAATCGGAGCGCATCTTTGCAATAAAACGGTTGACTCCTATAGGCTGAACGATTTGGAGGCGGGGTAAAATGTTTATTTTTGTATTTGTGTGTGCGTTTTTTAATGTTCCCCTTATGTGCTTAAATTAGCTTCAGCTGCAAATGCACATGTGCAGTATGGGTTGGAAACTTTTCAGCAGGCATTACAATTACATAAAGGTAGAAAAATGCCAAAATAAGAAAGTCTAAAACTAGACACATTAAGATGTTTAATGAAGCTATAGAACCCCAGAGAAGCCTGCACGTATCTGATATTGGTCAATAGATGTGTCCTAAGTGACTTCCACTTCAGTCAGTACAGTACAGCTGGGAGA